TCGTGCCACCCAAGGATGAAGCTGTGTGACGACAAATTTCCCAGCAAACAGTCTCCGATTTTCCTCTTGTGGCCCAGATGATAAGCACCTCTTGAGTTTTCTCACCTTACCCCCTGGTTACTGATGGTCTTTGCCTTAAACGTTGGGCCCCTGCGGCTTGCCTCTATGCTTCCGTCGCCCTTGAAGTATTATGTTTCATACTCCGAGAAACCGCCATAATGGAACAATAAAGTAACAGCATATAGTGAATGAACGAAGTCAGACACACTTTATACTTCTAAATTATAGTAATGTGAATCTTACTGCTTGAAGTGTCCAGCAGAGATAAATGACGTCTGGAGCTTGACGACGGAGGGGCTCGATGCATGTTAAACCACAGCTGCGAGATTCTGCCATACCCACAAGGTACGCGAGTCACAGAAACTATCATGTTCGAGCAACGCTGCTTTTAGAGGCACCTTTCCGTTAATTCCCCTCGAGGTACACCCGTCCGACTAGTCAGTTCAGAGGTGCGTTTAATGTACCCAGTCAACTTGCTTAGCCTGTTTGTAGACATACCAAATATTAAATTCACTTTTTTAGAGTGGTGCAAAATTTTTAAAATTTATCTTTTTCTTAAAATATGTTTATACTTTGATGCCAACTTTTTTTTGATGATTTCACAGGTTGGCAAACCCGAGGCTCGTTTTTGATTAGCATCATTTCGCACGATACTTTTGATTTTCTCAGTAAAGTGGTGTGAAACCTTCGATGCGTGAAAGTTGCACAGAAATCATTAAGCGTGAACAAGCAATTATTTGCGTTCGGCCGTTTTACAAGTCACGTTCGACGTTTATACACGTAAGAAAGTAGCCGGGTTACGTACACTGCGTTCGAAAAAAGACGATCGTGTTCTGGCTGATGCGGAAAAAAGCACGAACACATCAAGAAATGTTTGCACACACCTGGAACAAATTTGAAGTGGAACCCCGAACGGCCAAGCGAGTCCCCGGCTTCTTGGCTTCTTGCCTGAGGAGGCCCATTTAAAACGCATCCATAGCGTGATTTGGTAACTCACATGACATTAAAACTCCAAGCTAGGATACAACCGAAAAGGGAAATATACTTAGAAAGAGACTTTCACAGAACAGCAACGCCGGCAACGAGACCAACGAAGTTTAAAACCATGGCTTGGCTTAAGGGCAATGATCTTGTGGAGCTTATTCTGTTTCCTAAAGTAATAATAAACTCAATTTATTTTATTACGATTTTTACCTTGTTTTTGATTTTCCTTTGTTTTAAACGTCCAGTTGTCGCCATCTGACTTGAGGGACGCTGTCTATGTGCAATTCCTGGAAATGTCCTTGAGTGGGATTACTGGATATGATTTCACTGTGGCATCTGGAAAGTATCGTTGCAGCAAATATTGCCGGAAGAGGGTATAACTTGGGGACAGAGCTGCCGCTAGATCGATCACAGCACGCTGCGGCAGCCAAAGTATGGTGCCTGAAGCGAGCCTCCTCCCACACATCAAAACTCAAAAGTGGTCCCCAGGTGGCAACAAATGACGTCACAGAAACCGGAGTGTCACGCTGTTGCACGTCGCGATCCTGGCGGTTGGTGGTATAAATGATGGCGAAAGGTGCAAGCGAACACGAATGTCGCCGTCGTCACGGCGTCCCAACTTCTGGCCGCCGAAGCTTTCGCGGTCTGTCACATTGGAGAGCGACCTGCAGCGGTACAGGCGTCTGTTACATTCATCACCGCTGCTGGAACACGCAAGGATCGCGACCGGCGACAGCATGAAACTTCTATGACGTCATCAGGCGGAAATCGACGCACAAATTTTTTTGGACGCGGTAAACACACCAGTCGGAGACGCGTTCCAGGCACCATATATATGGTGCCTGGAGCGCCTCCTCGACTGGTGTGTTTAGCGTCCTACATGCTACCCATACATCAAAATTGGTCCCGAAGTGGCCACAAATGATGTTGAAGTGTCATGCTTTTGCATGTCGCCATCCTATCGGTTGGACGTAGAAATGATAACGAGAAGCTGCAAGAACCAGAACCGAACGCGAGTGCCGCTGTCGTCACGGCGTCCCAACATCTGGCTGCCAGAGATTCCGTGGACTGCCACACGGCACTGCGACCTGCAGCAAAACAGGCGTCTGCCACATACGCCACAGCTGTTGGGACACCGCCAGGGTCCCGACTGGCGACAGATGACACTTCTATGACGTCATCAGGTGGAAATCGAGGGGGTCCACTTTTTTGGACGCGGCAAATACACCAGTCGGAGAGGTGGTGCACGAAAGCACCTGATGTCAAAAGCCCCGTGTCAAATGAACCGCGGCAAACGCCCCGTCCTTTTTGCCCCGCTTTCAAAAGCCCCAGTTTCAGAAGCCCATGACGCGAAAATCCCGTGTCAGGTGGCCAAGTCCTCAACGTAACAACGAAGCATTCCGCTTGTAACTAAGACACAGTAAGTGTTCACGCGAGCTTGTGTAACGTAATCATGCTGTAGCCGGGACTCAAGTAAGGAGTAACTGGATAAAACTTGCCGCTCTTCGGGCAAAAATATTTACGTCTTGCGACGTCAGAGGTAAAAATAAGCAAAAAAAAAATACTGGCAAAACATTTGAAGTTACAGCTATTGTCAATAAGCATTGAACCGAAGTTTTCGTTAACATTGAAGCACGCGCGGATTCCCAGTTCCGTCGAAGTGGGTAATCATCGGCGGGAAGCAATGGCGATGAGCAGCACAGCGGACAGTGGTCCCGGAGTGATTACGACGGGGTTTAAGGCGGTTACGAATCCAGAAAGCTTCTTCTGTGGTACCAATATGAAGAAGGGAAAACTCCTTCGTGAATCTGGCCGCGTGTACGACGTGAAGGAGGTCCGTTTCGACGGACAAGTGGATGTCACGGAGCGCCGTACTCCGCTAACAAAATTAAGCGTGCCCGCAAAAAATGTAGTTGGCGTTGAGTGGGCTGCGGTAATTATGTACGTTTATTTCTGAATCAGCTTGACAATAACTGGGCGAATATTTTCGCGCCGTTCCGCGATTCCCACTACAATCTTCCTGTAGGCTGATCGAAACATCCAAGGGTAGGCTTAGGTGGGCGACCGCATTCCGCTTCTCGATTGCGGTGAAGTATTTGCTGCATACTTTAGAGTTTGCCGTCGGTGTCGATGCTATTCCATCGGCGCTAGAATAGAAAAAGAAGTTAATTGTATTATTCGTCACCAGCTTAAACAAAGCGTGAACTGGAGGGTAAGAAACGCCAATAATCTGTATGGGCGCACAAGTCGCACCCAGGTCGCGCAGTACTCCGCCTCGTACGGCTTCGAAGGGACGATGTAGTACTTCGTGCCGTGCGCGAACTTCGACTTACTGTTGCAGCCGACCACGCAGCAATTGTTGCGGCTTTCTTGGTGCGGAATAGCCATCTCAGAAATTACAGCGCTAACACACTACAACGCACAACCAACGCAGCGACTAGCAGAGGCTCCCCGATGCAATGGACCCGTTTGCCGCTAGGGGCGCCCTGGTCGGGGCTCGAATTAGATCCGCACGGTTCCTATGCCTCTATGACAGAGGAGCGCATCGCTGGTGATGCAGATTTATCTAATTGGTCGCTTGTATATCATCCTAAGTTTTTTGGCAGTCCAAGTCAACCTTGTTTTGTTGTTTTTCACTTAAAAAACATTTAGTAGACCTTGACATGAAGCATAGAACAATGCTGGTTGAAGCGCGAAGAGGGTGGGACGGGGCTTTTGGGACGTGGGGAATACGGGACGGGGTAATTGAACGCGGAATTTTTAAACTTGGGGCTAATGACGTGGGGCTTTTGCGACAGGGATTCTGCACGCGGGGCCCCAATCGTGCTACACCCAGTCGGAGACGCGTTTCAGCCGCCCCTAGCATTGCCAAAGCTCGGCGATGGCGGCCATTGTGATGTCGGTGCTGATAATACTTTCCTTATTTTCTCTTGCTTGAATTGGTGTGGAACGTTTTAATCGTTTTTGAGACTTTTTTTGGAGACGTCGTCCTGTCTATTTTCTGTCCCTTCTACGTTTTGATGTTTTTTCTCTACCCCAGTCTCAGGTTAATTGAACATGGTTAATATTCACCAGCTCGCCTGCACCCTTACGATTTTTTTCTACGATTGTTTTAATCGTGTTTTTTTAACTGTAAAACAAATGATAAGTTAAATTTATTTCATTTTAAACACTCATATTGAATGAAAATTGTGTATATATTTCATTTGCATCCCTTCAAAAAAAAAAGGTAATGCGACATCAGTTTTGGTTTCGTTTCGGATTCAACTGTGCCCCTTGACGCGCATTTCAACTGGGGTTGTTAGGCGTATGCGCAGTGTAACACCGGACGACTTAGTTACGCTCAATGACCGTTAAGATTTGTCAACGATGGTTAGCTTAATGACAGTTGTGAGCGATAATGTAATTAGTGTAAAAAACTATACTTTGTTTTTTCTGAAACTGTATGTTCATATGTATTATGTTTGTTCAGACTATAGCATGCAGTCAAACATCGGAACAAGACGAAAATTTTTTTATGCAGAAAAAAAAAACTTACGAATAATAATACCGAACATATTTATGTGAATCAAATGTGCGGAGTAGGTTTAGGATTTGCTCCGATATTGTTTAATTTAAAAAAAAAAAATTTATATGCCCCTTCTAATCTTAGCACATAATCAGGAAAAAACAACAGGGGATACGATGGCCTTCAGCACACCATCAAGCGCATCAATTAGCTTGAAAAAAAAAGAGTGACAGGAAGCTATGTACCCTATCGTATCTCGACATTCAAGGGAAAACTCGCCGCGGCCAAAGTCGAGAAGGTTCCTAATTGGCAGTGAACGTATCGATATATGCCCTATTTGATGGCATCCCACTGGGGCTCCATGTGCCGGGCAAAGATAAGCATGCTTACATTTCAGTAGCATGATATAAAGGGGCGCTGTCTTTCATGCCCAGACACTTCTTGCCCTCTACGACCAAAGGCCAGCTCTGTTTTAGACTCTTCGTTATTTACTACGTATAAAGTTCAACGATAGTAAAGATGAAGGTCACTTTTGTTGTAATTGCCCTGGTGGCCATGCTGGCCATTACTGAATCACTGACTTTCAGACGTCGGTCGCTCTCTGAAGAAGATGAGATGGAAGAGGTCATTCGTGAGTTTTTACAATTCCCTATTTTTCGGGTGTTTGTAAGTGGAGAAAAAGACCACGCAACAATAATATTATTTCTCATGGCTTAAACCTTAGGAAAAATATGGAGCCCAATATTTATTGTTTAATGCTAAAATACCCGTATAGGAATCCACAATCTTTTCACGTCAATGTTCCCTCATTGAGAGCCTTTCCTCGCGCTGAAGATGTCTAAGAATGTATACTTTTCTGCGAAGCAGCCAGAGAAAGTGTTGCAAAGGTCGAAGGTGGCGTTTACATTCATTCCTTGTCGCTGTCTCCTGTGGCCTCCATCTGTTGTTCACCCTCTGTCCTTTCTCCCTCGACGGCCCCATTTTCAGCCCATTTTATTTTCCATTGAAACAATTGACGTGACTTAGAAGATTTTTCATTTCATGTATGAAAAATTTGTCTCAAATCCCCCGGAGGTATTACATGAGGGGGAGTTCCAAATGTAAGATCACACTTAAAGTATAACCTAAAAAAACACTTCGTAAAAAAAAGTAAGAAAAAAAGAAAGACGCAAAAAAGATATCAATATTCCCCGATACTTTTTTACAGACTGCCCTAATTAACGCACACCCCGGCAGCTTTGAACAACAACAAAGCGCTCTACACAAATAAAGCCATCTGTATTAGGAAAAAAGTTCGAGTATATTTTATTTTTACTAATTTGTAAATTTAGGCGAATTCACCAGCCTTTTAAATACTGACTGAAGTACCGATGTCTCAACCAGAAAGTTATATTGCACGTTCAGGAACCCCCGATCGATGTGTTTGCAGTACGGTACGCCCAGCGTGCTTCTCTTTCCCGACCAAGAGAGAGCCCAAGAATTATTAAAACAAGATGACATGAAATCGCGCATGAGCCCCACACTATCATCTGGGATTTAACCAATGACCACTGAAAAAAAAAAAATTGCTTTTTTTTTTTACACTGGCGTTTGGTTGTGACCGAGTAACGTGTAATCGCTTACCACGATATAACACACTGGTACGCTGGCGCCATCTATCTATGTCCCGGAATTGCATTTGACTAGAATGAAGGTTTCACAGTATTTGTAAGATGAGAAGTGCATACTATTTATAAGAATTAATTGTTTGTAAAATTGTAAAAAAATTTTAAAAAAAAAATAATTTTTAATTCCACGGTGAAAGTATGATACGCAAAAAAAAGAAGAAAAGAAATATACGCAAATTGCGAGTGTTCCAAGGGCCCTGTGTGTTTTCTAGTCCTAACCGACCACATGAAAGTACGACAGACTCAGTCGCAACACGGGCAAAAAAGAATTACACTTTTTAGGGGAAACGTTAAATCAATCAAATTTATTTCGTCTAAACGAGATATAGTTTATTTAAATTGAATTATTTTATTTAAATAATACTGTAGTTTGAAAAGAGGGTTTCTTTACCACTAAACGTATTTATAAACAAGGCAGATTGCTTTATCAATTCGCTCGATCGCGGATAACAATGTGGACAAAAAAAATACTGTAAATTTAAAGTACAGTTGAATTAACAACTTTTTGTTGTTCTAATTTCGCCGTACTATAAGAAACAGCGTGACTTTTTTATACTTAAAACATTTATTGATTTTCTTTTTTAGTTTGGCTTAATATTGATTAACCGCGTGAGTGTGGCGTCACTGCTTCGAAGAAGCCGTTGCTTGTTGCGTAGCTATTGACAAATATATGGGACTCGATTTCGCTCCGAAAAAAAAAAAACGTTCAAGAATCTGATGTAGAATTAAAACGTTTAAAAAAATAGATTTAGGAAGTTTAGATTCCGCACTTCCCACGACAGAGGATTTTGAGCATCGGCTGTTTCTGAAATAGTTGCGACGACAACTTTCGGTCCTCCAAACGTCTCGAGATATGCCTGCTTCAGACGACGAACGCACTCGGAATGACTGAGATATACCATCTGTATCAGTTTGAATAGTTTGCATAATGATGCAATTTCATCTTATATCTTGGAACTGCGCATGGCAGTTCCAAGAAACCTCAGCCGGTTTATAAAAAGAAAATTGTATTTGACTGTGATAGGGGATACTTTCTTACAAAAATCTTCGCACTTGTGGAGATCTGCAAAAATACATCGAGAGAAGCATCTCCGAAGTAAATGATATCAAAGCAGCGTAAGGCCCTCTTTTTCATTTTGCCGGAGAAATTACTTCTAATCTAACAGATTATTTCAAGACACCAAAGTGTATTTTTCAGGGTCGCAACATGTGTTTGTGTTTGGTACCTGCTTGTAAACATTAAGCGCTGTTCACACTCTTGCAACCGAGTACGACCGAGAGAGACCAGACCGGTTTTTAAGCCTTTTGCGACTTCTTAGGACCGGATGAACTGCAGCGGAGCTGGTCCTAAGAGATCGCAAGAGGCTTAAAAACCGGCCTGGTCTCTCTCGGTCTTACTCGGTCGAAAGAGTGTGAACGGGCCTATACACTGATAAAACATTCTGTTGATTCTACTGTTCAGTAGGACCTGATATAGCAATAGAGAAGGAGAAAAAACATCACGTAAAGGTTATGTCTGCTACGGATCAATCGTTTGATCACGCAAATGTGCAGTGAAGTAGCTTCTGTGCCGTGAAAGCTCCTTGATCGCGTGCGCCGGTCTGCTTCACCATACCTGCAGTTAGAGGTTGATACACTTCACGTGTTAGCAGAGTTTTCACCCTTCTAATATACTGCGGAAGCCTCCACGGGCGGACGCACGTTCGCAAACCCCAAGCGTTGATCAAAGATCAACGCTTGATCAAAGATGCACAGGCACTCTTGGCTTAAAACATTCCACAAAAAGTTGACCACGGGAATAGAAGTTTCATTACTAGTGACTAACTTAATTTCACGAGTCGCGTACTCCCTCAGAAAGGACCACTGGACACGCGAGGCCATCGTGTCGTCTGCAACCAAGGCAAAAGCAATTGCGAAATTTTATTGCGGGTTTCCATTATCGCTTTATGGCATTGAGTTCATTTTTCAAATATTCATGATTAGAGATTAAGAATACACAACGTTTACAAAAAAATTGCTCACTTTTGTACCAGACAAGTTCTAACCTCACGTCGAGCCTCCCTGTATTTGTCTATAGCAATGGCCCTAGCAATTAATTATTTGCAGCACAGCGCCACGTCGTGACGTAATCCCTTACGGGGTTCAATTGGAGATTACTTTTATAATTTTTTTTTGCGTTTGAATTTTGTGGCAATGGGCCCCATTGCCACAAAATTCAAACGCAAAAAAAAAGCTGACAAACGAAGTGGAAGGCAGCGATCAAACTCAATGTTCCGAATTGCTCAAAAGCGAACTTCTTTTTGCTCGTGTTTGCCTTATATAAACATATTTGCTTGATGATTCTTTGATATAGATACAGCACAAATACACAAAGAAATCGTCAATTGATAAACAAAGGGTAAATTAAAAAAATATTTTTCGTGCTTATTTTAGCGTGAATGTATGATATAAATCACCATATTAAAACTAGTCTGATTTAATTCACGATTTTAACCATGATTTGAGCCACGATTAGTATCATCTTGATTTTTATTCTCCCACCCTGGTAACCACCAAACGCAAGTACGTGAATCAGATTTTAGTGTATACCCCTGAATAATGTATCGCCACATTTCAGGAGCCACTTGCCTTGTTCCTCTAAACCTTTCGCCCGAGGAATCGGCCGCGGTAAGTCGGTTTTGGTTTTCTCTTCTTTTTTTTTTAATTTTGACTTCGTAATAAGAACAAAAACAAAAAATTACCTGTTGGAAGAATAAAATAACGGCGAAAATATTTTCCAGATGGAGAAAATTTTGGAAATGCAAGATACCGAAGACATGCCTTCAGCTGTAAGTTCATTTGCAACCTTATCTGTTCGCAGCATAAAGGCTTTTCTTTAAGAGATGGTCCGGGGATATGCGACATTTAGTAAGTTTTTGCGCTGGTCCCGTAAAGAGGGTCTATATAATGTTAGATGTAATATTTATTGTATTAAAAAGCGCCCCTATATTTGTTAAATCAAATATGAGCATCAATACGAAACTTCACGCCAAAGTTCCCAAGTATGCTTGGCTGATCGTGTCATGACGTCGTCGAAGGATTGAGCTTCCCTCAATGCCGTAAATCTTGTCTTTCCTAGAACGAAGGTATATTACTGAGAAAGCAGCTGATTGCACTCTTCGTCTGATGTTACGTCAGAGCTTCCGGTGTTGCCGAAGAAAAGTGTGTGTTTTGCAGTTGCAATCTTAGCAATTGTGTCCTGCTTAAAATTGAATTGCCTGTGCGGCGGATTACAAATTTGGATATTGCGCGCATGATATTCCTAAAAGTAATGAAATATAATTTCATTGTTTTCTGAACGACAAAGTTTTATCGGACAATCCGTTCAATGATGAACTCCATGGAACGAATGTGCGGCGAAAAACTGACGAACTTAGCAGGGTGGCGCGTTCGCTTTGCATGCGACGCAACAGCCACTCTTCTGACGCCAAGGGCCGAACGCCGCCGGGCGAAATTCGCCTCTTTTTTTCGCTCCATGGAGTCCATCCTTCAGATAGCGACATATTTCCGAACAAATCCGAGTGCGATGCCACAAACGTGTTATCGTCATCCCATCCATTCCCAACGTCAATTATGACGAAGCCACTGCGGATTTTATACATGCTAAGGGCGCTGGAAAGGAAATCGTGCGCTAGAAAGCAGGGATAGATAAAGGGCTCATTGTTTTTCTCTGTCGCGGACTGTTTTAACATTTCTGAAGGATGGAAAAGCGTTTCCCGAAATTTCAGATAATTGATAACTGACCGCAACAATAGACCAATCTCAACAGCCAGTTTGACTACGCCACCGCTGCTGCAGTGCATCGAGGGAAGTTTAGTCTTACTGCACGTGCGACAACTCTGCTGGAGCTCTGCGTCAGAGCTGTGTATAGAGAGAGTTTGGCCATTCATTGGGAAGTATAGGACGTGAATGAGGAGACGCCATTGGCCGAAAGCGTGCTGAGCGTGTTACAGGGTGTCTTCATAAATTTGAATGTGGCCAACCAGAAGCCGGAAAGAATGCAATGGCGATGGTCGCGAGAAACACACTTGATAAATGCGTCGGAGTAACTCTCGGTGATTGAAAATAAGGTGCACGGGATGTTTCAATAAGGGTCATCCAAAATCATGGTAGAAAAGTGCGACTAGCGGATGCGCCGAGGGCCGGGAATCTGCCGTCCAAGCGGTCACACTCTTTCCGAAAAAAAAAACTGGGTTGAGCAGCACATTTGTTTTTTACATCTTTCTGGATGATCATAGTCGAAACATCACGTGCACCTTATTTTTAACCATGAAGGGTTACTACATTAGACACCCTTACGCGCCTATTAGAACCATAAACCTATGATTAAAAGTGTTCCTTACTACCACCTTTAGGGGATACTTTTCGGCGTCTGGTTGGCCATGTCAAGCCCTCATTCTGCCTCTGGTGCACGCCCTGGCACTGCCCGCGCCTCCGATTGACCAAACTTTCCTAAACACGGCTCTGCTCTGCGTGTGTGGAGCACGTGACGGCACGAGCCCTCGCAGGGACGTCTTTCTGCATCTTGTGAACTAAAGCTATGACGACGACACGCATGCGCCAAACGCTTAGCAGAATCGGTCTATTAAATAAAGTAACGAATTGCATTGATGTACATGAAGGTAAACCATGAGACTCTCAGTCAATCATGCTCAATATATTTTGTGTTTACCGTCATCGTAAATATAAATTAGCTCACCTGCACTCTAAGTATTTTTTTGTTGTTAATGGATTTAATGTCGTTAGTCTGAAGCGTAACCTATACTAGGGTTCCCTGTTTTCGGATAGATCTTGAAAAAAATCTGAAAAACTATCGCCAGTTATTTTTCCGTCAAATCGGATTTATCTGAAAAACTCCGAATTTCGAGGTCACAGCGACAAAATAAACAGCAAAAAAAGACGGAGTTCTACAACTAATCTTTATAAGAGCACAAGGTCAGTGGTCCTGAAGAGATTTAACTTTAGTTTCCTTTGAGATCTAAAACTACTAACGAAAGAGGTTTGCCTTTTAGCACGTCGAGGTTCCCGGGCCTTATTTATTTTGTTTTTAATCTTTTTTTTTATTTTACGCAGATAAATAAGTGCCGAATTTCAAAGAATTGGGAATCTAACAAAGATAAATACCGATAGACCCCGAATCCCCAGCAAAAAATAAACTCCGAAAAACACCCCCCGAATTTCACGAGAAATGAACTCCAAAAATATGGAATCCTACGTTATACGCGTGATCCTCAAAAAGGGATAGGTACACGACCTTGCGATTCTCCGCTCAACAATGCTTTCTCTGGTTGCCTGTCGCAAAAGTGAGGGGTGTAAGGTACTCTAAGGTCGTGGGGGTCTTTTCGGCTCAGTTTGAAATCAGATGGACTAAGCGAACAAAAACTTTGTATGCCGCGTATTCTGAACATAACTTTTTTTCATTTTCTTTCCAGGACAGCGAAGAGGAGCTCGACAAATTTCTTGCAAGTGGACTGATATTTCATACGTTTTTTAGCGGTATATGTAAAACTTGCGGCCCGTTTAATCACGCTTAAAGATAGAAAACTCAAAAGGTATAGAAGAAAATCATTCTTAAACGTAAAATAACTAGGCGTGTTATTAATTGGCCAACGATCTACACGCAACCATGTTAGAGTATAATAAGTATCGATCAAATAAATCTAAATTTCTTCGAAAAAAAAAAAAGAAACAGGCCTGACAAGGAACGTGGAGGAGAAAAAGGCACCCATTTTAATCTTCATATTTTACCTCATTTCTATGCCGAGTGGAAGTTCGTCTGGTTATTCTACAGTGCAGCTGGAGGCGTCGAAACGCCAAGATTTGATTGCCTCTGATTGAAGGATACTGGCTAGACTTCTAAGCAAGGTGCCTAGAAGTCTACCCACTATCCATCAATCAGAGTCATTCAGATCTCGGTGTTCTGATGTCTCCACAACCCCTGCAATACAAGCAGACGAACTTGCGCTCTTAAGAAACGCAGTTCGTGGCGTGTACCAAACATCTTATTATCGCTTAGTAGCTAATACAATTGCGTCATCAGCCGATAAGAACACAAACAGAAGAATCACAAAGAGCGTGATCATATCTTAAGTAGTAAGTAACTATATATGTCGTGTGGTAACACCTCGTGTTGGTCCGATTGCGAAAAAAATAATAATACGAGGTTTAGCAAGTCAAAGTAAACTTGTTCCAGAAATGCATGATCTAGGCCAGCTTAATTGCGCCATGTGAAAAGTTCACTCATTGGCGATTTACGGCGCGGTTTTCCGACCCCAATTTTACGGCTTCGTGCGTTGATCACCAGGTGCAGACTTTATGTCGATCTGGCGCTTGCTTCATAGCTCTGAAGTCAAGTCATTAGGTGCTGTCGGTTTGGACATCGCTGACGCCACCAATAGTGGTAAATAACATGAAACTTCGAGTATTATTATAATACCAATAGTCTTAGTTGCTGTATTTCTTAAGTCACTATACATTTACAGGAAATGTCAAAGACATTTCAAGAGAACTAACTATGACAAGCTGAGTCAAGCAGATAACAAAAGTAATCTTGCTTACGCTCTTCCCAGTTTCGGGTTTATCCGGAACGAAAGAAAAAAATGCAAACGTATACTCCCATTTCGGCGACATCTCGCCCTTTATATATGTCTTGCTGCACACCATAAAAACTTTAAGATCTAGTTCAAGCTCCAGTATTCAAAACACCGGGGCTTGAGCTTGAGTTTGCGCCGGCGTGCTCATTGGTCTTGAAGCCACGTCAAGGACGGCGCAAGGTTGTTTTACACTTCACGAGTCAGACACCTGTCGTAGTGCTTTGACTTCCTACTCGTCCCTCAATCAACTTCACGAAACATTGGCTGCAAGTTTACAATAGACTGTACGGGACTATGGGGAAAGTGTCCCACTTTTATTCAGCAAACTATGTAACAAGAACGAACTTACTGACTGCGATGGGTTCGCTGCGATACTCATGGGTAGGTATACCGTACAAAACGTTGAAACCGAAGACCATCTCACGCCAATCTCTGCAAACGTCATGGCGTCAATTTCAGTAGAAAACCGCGTTATTTCTGTAACTATTCTCCGAGTTTCTCAGCTGGTCATTGACTGATGGGGTCTAGATGCTGGCAAGTTTGCGAAAGCTGTTTTCGCCGACAGACGTAAACAATTTTGTTTTTATGACCAAGGACATTTTCAAAATCACATCTCGTATTAAAATTGCTTTAGTCGCTTTGTAGGCGCTTATTATAGCGAAAGAAAACATGACAGGTGTATCTTCCACGCCAGCGATGTACAATTCTTCAGTGCTCACCTAGTGTGACTGTATAGATTTAGCATTACAGCAGGCAAAGTCATAGGTTCCATGAGTTGACTAAATCAAGCAAAGGTAAAGAGAGCCCTTTATATTTAACATTTGAGCCCATACCTACTAAAGCAATAAAGAGCATCTCTAGAGATATAATCACAGAGTTTCACCAGAGGCTGCTAGTTTCTTTACATGCTCTTCTGGGAAGGAGCGTGTGGGAATTCTCGAGAGACTTAAGACATCGCGCCTAATTGTTTCTCAAGGGTGATTAGAATGTCAATTACAATAAAATACATGGCTGCTTTTATTTGTGTAAAATTGTCTGTGTGAGCCTTGACCTTGTCCCTACAGGAGCAAGTGACGCCCAATAAGGCCGTGGCGGATTCCCTCAAGCCGAAAATTGTCGCCTTCGTTGTAAGTGCATTTTTCAGTGTTTCATCAACATATTGTCGACTGTTGTCGCTTATTCAAAAGTAAAGATTTTTACCCTGAATGTTAAAAAAATCGTTGAGCAACGTATTGAAGAAAAAAAAAGGTTTAGTTCCCTATGCACTTCAACTAATTCCAACACAACAGAGGCTTCGCGCGCATTTTCCAGCTTAGCTGCATTCTCTTTCCCATAAATATGAATACTGCGTCGTTTTCGTTTCGTTAGAGTGGTTGCAATAACTGAGCTTCGCTTTTGTAAAATGGAATTCGTTGATTTTTATTCATGTTTATCTTCAGCATTTGGGTTACGAAATTGATTGCAGGGATTACACAAGCTTGCGAGCAACAGGATTTTTTTTTTCGTAAGATGTTCAGAAAACTGATATTTGAGTATTCACAGAAACTTCTCGCGAGCCCTTCACTCCATTAAAAATTAGATTGTACGTACACTGACCAGATTACAGTATGCTGACACATTTATTAAGCACATGGACGATATTTGACAGACTTGGAGCGGGGAATGTAAGCACTGAGTACAGGAAGGCAATATTTTTGAATCTTGCATGATACTCTGCTAGGCACTATAGATGTTTCTCTTTGTTATTCCCTTAACAAGTTGTGTCCCAGAATATATCTCTCGTGCTTACTGATACACCCTTCGTTCTCTTTAAGCCTCGTTTTCTGTTTCACCCTTTACGTAAATCTTGCGAATCCTTCCTTGTAGATGTTAGAACAATACAGCAAGAAAGCAAGCTCTCAACTTTCTGCCATACGCTGTTCTTGTCTCCTTTCTCAATGGTAGACCCCAGAAACTATAGACTGAATTAACACGCATAGATGAGTGTTACTTTATGTGGGGTATTCTTTTTTTTCTTAAGTTTAAAGGGCAACTTTGGCCAAAACTCAAAATGAAATAAATTACTGGTATCGCTGTAGTGACACAAAATACGACTCCGGCCAAAATATTACGTCCTTAGCACGCCGCATTCTCAACTAATGCCGATAACAAAAATGCGACCCGCCGCGAGCCGCCGCTCCTTAGCGGGCGGCTAGCGGGTTGCCGATCGCTAAAGCAACATTGGGCCGTGATGTCCGTATCGTTCTCTTTTTTTCCTCCGGTGCGGGCGTTGCGCGGAGTGCGCTTCTTTGAGCCGCTACAACCGCTACTTCGGCTTGTGATTGGCGTGTTTAGCCGTTGCTTTTATCTCTAGCCCGTGTAGCTTCGGTATAGCCTTTTGTTTATTTGCTTGTGAGGACTTTTAAGACTCGTTTTAGCGAGCAACTCGGTGCGCCCAAGACTGCCCAGCTGTTCCTCGAAAGATACCGAGTGCAGCTTGTAGCGCTGTGGGCTGCTCAAACAACCCTCTGCGCAACATGCAGGTGCTTTTTCACAAGTGTCCGAAGGTGTGGGTGAACGCTGTTGGACGAGTGGACTTTGGACTTCGGCTTTTACGCACCCGAAGAAAAAAGAACGAAAAGCAGTCGTATTCAGCCCAGCACACGTGTGTTCGGGCGCCGCGGCCCGCGCCGGGGCCTAAAACCTTCGTGTCTGGGACTGACCCGCAGCGCGAAAGCGAGAGGGCCCCCAGTACTGTACGTCACTGGCAGCGCGGCGTAAAGCAACACCACTCCATCCACGCAGCCCAGATGACAATTTAAGCCTAGCGACGAGTACGGAAGACCACACACACGGCGACAGCCGCCGAGTACGGCACCGAACGAGTTCACTCGTTTTTCAGTCGCTAGCTTTTGGGTATACAAGCGACGAGTACGGCATAGCGCACGCACGGCGGTGGCCGCCGAGTACGGCACCGTACGAGTTCACGGGTTTTCCAGTCGCTAGCTTTTGCTTATACGCACTAACTTTTGCCACATATGGTCGATAACTACCACGTATACAGAATTAAAACAAAATCAGCTTACCTCCTATCTTTAGACGGCTAGCGCAACAGAGCTAGGTGGCGCTCGGCCTGCGTACTCGTTGAACGAGAACGATCGTGACGTCACGTTCACATAGCGGCTGATTTCCAGTGTTGCCGGGGCCTCGAGCGGCTGGTTTCGCTTTTGTTGGCCGCGCCCCAAACAAAACTTTGAGGCGTCCATATCGTTAAAACTACGCACAATAACGAGAAAAACATTACACCTTGCAATTCAGGGACGCTGACTGCACTAAAACAGTCATAATCCCAAAATCGAAAGTATGGACCGGAGTTGCCCTTTAACAGATTAAAGAAAGCCATGAAAGACACACTTATGCGGCTTGGGCAGGTAAGTTATACGGCCAAGGGGAGATAGTATAGGGGGCTAATCGTAACAATCAGTCGGCTAATTAAATAAAATTTGTTGCTTAACTTTTCAATTACTGGAAATAGACAGACCGTTCCCAGTAGAAATTTGCTGAGCGTCATCTAATACCGCTGAATCAATAACTTTTAGAAATACTTTGAGCGTGTGCGAAACGTAGTAGTGCGTTAAAGGTATATTGCTCGTGCAAGAGGCTGTGACTATGAGAGGAGACAGAAAAATCGCGCGGGCGCGTTATCGCACCGGTAAGCTTGCTTTTGCTGCACGAGCTGTACCTTAGCGCACTACTGCGCTTCTCACGTGTTCAACGTCCTTCCAAAACTACTGATTTAGTGTGGCTTTTTGACGCTCAACAAGTTTCTAATTGGAACATGTGTTCATTAATTAAAAAGTTAATTACCACATTTTACCTAATTCGCCAACTGATTGTTGCGATTAGCCCCCTATATTTTGTCCCCATGGCCGTATAACTCATTTGCATAAACCGCATAAGTGTAGCGTTCACGGCTTTTTTTAAACAAAGTTAAGCTTAAAAAAAATACCCTGTATATGAAGGAAGCTTTAAAATGAAACTGACTATGGCGTATTTTTTTCTCCTTCTGCAGATGTGCGTTACAAGTGAATTCCTCAAGGCTCTCGGGAATTAGAGAGAAAAGCTTCTCCGGATCAGGATCTAACCTTGTGAAAATTAAAGAAAAAAAAAAAAGCATATAAATATTTTTTTATCTCACAATTTCATCGAACTGCGTATATCTAGAGTGGTGTCTTATTAATCAACCAACGGCTTTTTTTATACCACGAAGAGCAGTAATGTACATATAGTACGCGTGTGACGGATACCCATGTGATCATTATGAAAACAATTTTCAAACTGTAACAATAGTAACTATATGCAAACTATCTAAGATTTATTCAGTAAAACTATAAGAGTTGCAAATGTGTATTTATATTTAGTCTCAGACGTCTACAAATATCAAGAAACAATATTTGATAGACTAAAAACAAAATGATTTGTGTCATTCACTGATATTTGGCTATAAATACGATTTTGCATTTGTTGGTTTAGGCGAAATATTGATAGTCACCCATTTTTTTTTTCAAATGTTTTACTGTGCACAATATACTGATTCCTGTATTTTTCTACAAGAAATATTATAAAAAAACATTTTAATAATTTTGAATTTTATTTGTGCAGCCCCAATCAGTTGTAGTAGTCGTAATACTCGCCCGCCACGCCAGCAAAACAGAAAAAGAGGGAAGGTTGCTGCGTCAATGGCTACGAGACCTGGACATCCTGCAACATCACTGTCTGCTGCTCTACTTGCAACGCTGAAGAATTTTAATTCGGTGGAACTGAAGAAGTTTATAACAATCATGGTTAATTAGGGCACAGTGGTTCAAGCAGTCTGGGAAAAAGTGACCGGAACAGGGCTGTCGGTGACTTCGATTGGAGCACAGCATCCGTTCAGAGTGGTCAACTCTATTGCCACACTGAATAATTACAGTGGCGAAGTGGGCGAGTTGGTTCATAAACTATAACATTAAAGGCGCTAAGAGAGACACGGACCAAAAAGGAGGCAAACAGGACCAGCACTTACTTTCAACTGTACATTTATTTAAAGAACTGTTAAAGCTAACAACCTCCGGTAAAAAGAAATACACTGAATCACACAGTGACGTCACTCATCACCACGTGTCAATGAAATCACTACATTTGTGATGTAGAAAAATTGACGACTGGCTGACGGAGCCTTTAGTGCCCTCTTTCTTTATAGCATGGGCCTTCAAGCATTTCCCTCGCAGCTTTTTTACGTACCCTACCCACGATCATGGTATTTTGAAAGTTGGGCTGGCACAGACAATTTCTGCAATGAAGAGGCAGGTGTCCTCTAGTAGTTGACAGGACGCACCGTCCTGTCTGGCTAACGTAGTACACCTTGTCGCATGTCAGCGGCATTCTGTACACCCCACCTACGTTACATTCGACACATTTGTTGGCATGATTGAATGATTACAACATGCATCCTGGGCTGTAAAACTTAGAAAGCAGCCAGTGACACAACATGATTCTAGTTTTGCCTGCAATCACTTCTAGCCATTGCCGATGGGGTCTGCATACTTACAGTGCAAATAAAACGCCTTTAGTGTTCTCAGGACATCAGGTGGGGATTAACCTTGGAATCAGTCTACCGCGTTTACAATGTGGCACGAAACGCATGAAAGCACTCGTGCATTACAAATTACGTAGATACCAGACACGTGGACATATAGACATTGTATGGAAATAAATGTTGGCTGGTTGATGACATGTGGAGGAGAATAACACCACGAAGAAATGCAGCAGGGTTATTCCATGCCAAAGGAGACGCGGCAATTTTGCTCATGTCTGGGATAGGTATGAAAAACTTAATTTTAATAAAGAAGCCTCTAAACTTAAAAAAAAATACAACTTTTTTTTGTGTATGAAAACGTATTATCTTTTGTTGATATTGCGATCTCATTTTCTGGAATTTGCATAAAACCCGCATAGTTAAGAAAAACATCGTGAAAAACAGTTGGGTAACACAAATTTAGGGGGCCGTCTAATTACGAACTAGCATGCCCTATCTTACAATAAAATACAAACATTGAAACACCCCAAAAATTAAAAAAAAAACTTTTTTGAATTTTTGAATTTTTTTTTTAGTCAACTTGGAGTTGGGTGTTAGCTACAATACTTTCTTCGTTTGTACTCGTAGATATAATAATTTAATTTCACGTGTTAAACTTTGAAAGCCTCATTTTGTTGCGTTTTAATTTAGTGACAAATTTCATAGTCTTTTTTTCAGAAACGGCCTTAGTCTTTTTTTCAGAAACGGCCAGAAAAAGCAATGTTGCCATCAGTGCCCTATGGCAACATTGCTTCCAAATTCCAAAAGTCCAATCAACCTCATATTTTTGACATATGTAAAAACTAGAAAAGTAGGTTTTGTTTTTGCTGAAAACTATTTTCTTAAAGATGAGCCTTTCCGACACGCTTACAGGCGCCCAACTCGTATGCGACGCACACCGACGTTCGCCAACGAGGCGTCAATGGAGACGCCACCGCAAGGTGTTCAACGCTCTCCTAAAAGAATTATTTATTCAGTTGAAGGGAACGTTACCCTGACCTCCACGCATCCGTATCCTATTTGCCTTACGTAATGATACTGACGTCTTACGTATTTTTAAATGTTTTTCCGTCATTAAGCTGCTTTTGGTAGCCCTACATGTTTTTTCAAAATACATTTAAGTTCAATAGAGAAGCGACATCACCGTTATCATGACGCATCGGTGAAGAGCTCTCCGGTCTGACTTGTTTTTATATCGGGGTATACAACAGACAAGGCTGACGCGAGGTATGCATTCTCAAACTCGAGAAGCAAGCGATGCACGCCTGCGCTCTTCGGCAGTTAGCTGGGCACAAGTAGAGTAAGCTTGAGACGCCATAGAAGAGGATACATATGCATGGAAGTCGGGTTAACCTCCACTTCAACTGAATAAAACGTGTCTTCAGGTGAGCGTTGAAGACATTCGGCGGCCTCTCACACCATTGGCGTTTCGCTGGCTCACGCCGGCCTGCGTCGCCTACGTGGCGGGCGCCTTGAGGCATGGTCGGAAAGGCTCATCTTTAAAACATAATTTCTCAGCAACAACAGAAAGTACTTTTCTAATTTTATTGATATCTTCAAGAGATCCTGTGGTGGATTAAACTTTTCGTTATTTCGAAGGTTGAAGGCACCGATGCCCACATTGCTTTTTTGGCCTTCAATAAGGCCGTTTCTCGATAAACTGGAGAATTTGTTATTAAATTAAAACGCAACAACACGAGACTGTACAAATATAGCACGTGGATTGTAATTACTGGTTTTATGAGAACAAAGAAAAACGTATCGTAGCTAACACCCAACTCCAAATTGACTAAAATAAATAAAGAAATTCATGAAGTCTCTTCTTTTTGGAGCTCTTATTTGGACTCAAAATGGTGTATTTTAATGCTTGTAATTACTGTAAGCGTCCACCTAAATTTTTAGGCCTTCACCTGAATTTTTTTGGTACCGAAACTTTTTTTCAAACTTTTTTTTAATTACGCTAGTTTTATGTAAATTCCAGAAATTTACTGCGTGATATCAGCAAAAATACAATTTATAATTTTAAACAAAAAAATACTTTTCTTTAATTTCCTACATTTCTTTATCCAACTTCACGTTTTCGTACATATTCCAGACATAAAAAAAAAATGGCCGAACCTCCTTCGGCATGGAATGTCCCAGGAGAAGGACATCTTATTGGTTTCGGACCGAGAAGTATCTGCGAAGAAGAAATCGGTCCGAGCAGTTCGACGAAAACACTGGCTCCTAGCGTTCGTGTCGTGCTAGAAAACCGCTCGCACCTTGCAAGCAAGTAAAACATTTCACGCCATTCTGCTTCGAAGCGGCACCCGGGTCCACATGTCGGCGGATCGCGAATGCTGCCCCCACGGGAGGTCCCCTCGGAGGAGATGCCGGCGTGTCGAATGCGAACGGCGAATCGTTCGAAATCTCGTGGTCAAAAGCTTAAAACATTCCTTGGTCATACCGTGACTATGACGAGCCTGATGAATCGTAGTCCATTATTTCCCACGGACGATCGCGACGTACTTTTGACGGCTTCGTACGCTAGGCAAAACAGGCTCAAGCTGACCATGTGCTGATATGTATACAACATCTGACGTCTCAACAACATGGCGGACCAGTATAGTTGCAGGTTAGTTTCGATTTCGATCATTTCGTATTTCTACGATTTCAATTTAAAACCTTTTTGGCAAATTTACTCGCTGCTCTAGACTCAGTTTCTTGTGCTTTTCCAGAAAATATGTTAAGTTAAAACGTTCAAATTCAAGCCTTTCAGCTGTTCGTGACCTTACAAAATACACGCAACCTAAAGCTACGCCAAGCGCACCTCGAGATTGGAACTAGTTTCAGGGACACATCCACCGCTATCATTTCTATCGATCTCTCCTAATTGCCAGCAAACGAATCGATGCAGTACCAGCTTGTTGACATCCTGTTAGGGCGCCCTTGTGCTCGCAAAGATAAGCCTCCCCTCGGCTCTACGTTTTAAAGGCATTGGCTATATAAAACGTCGCTGCTTCTCATTCCTGGACACCAGCGTTTCAGATAGGGCCCCCCATTACATACGAATTTTATTCCGGGGAACTAGAGATTCTTATAATTAGATTCCTTTTAACTCCTCGGAAGGAAAACACCGGGCCCAATCCCATTCCTGGATTTGGCTAAACTCCACCACTTCATTCCTTTACTTCCTAAACGTGCAAGAAATGGCAGTTGACAGCCACATTGTGTTAGCGAAAAAAGGCAACCTAAAACATCTAACGTTATCAAACACTGCGAAGACTGCAAAAGTATGCAAATGCTTCCTTAAAGCATGCGTTTTACTAAGCCATACGGTGGTCGTACAAAGTGTTTAGTGGCACTTGGTGTCACTGCGGACATTGATCGCACGATGAAGCGTAAAAGGCCCGCGAGTCGCAACCCGCGCCAAAAATTAAAATCACCAATTTTCTTCGCGAACTCGTCTCCTTCAACACCTACATGGTTAGCGTGGTGTTTGTTTGAAAAGGCCTTAAAAATGTGTATTTTGTGCTTGCAGTGATGTGATTGGCCTAAGCCGTT